CCCCATACACACGCGAGAGATCGGGCACCTCTTTTTCCAAGCGCAAGCCCGTTAGAAAGGAATCCCTTTGTCTCTGCACCTCCCGAGGGGTATAACTCCGGGCGAACCAGGTGTTGGTAAATTTGGGAGAAGCTGGGAAGGGAGTTAATGAGGTGAGAATGAAGAGGGGGGAAAGCCGCAGAAAGCAGCTCGGCGGGCTGTGACCGGGAGGGGCAGCGGTTCATCCGAGGCCCTGGGGCGCCGCCTGGCGGCCCCAGGCGACATCTCACAGACCGACCTCTCGCCGGCGTGGGGCGACTGTTCTTCCGCGGTGTAAAAAGCCTTGCCACCCCATTTCTCGTCCTCCCCTTCCCAGACTGAAAACCCAATGCCCAGACAAGCCCCCATGTCCTGTCTGATCTCGCCGGACATCCGTAGACTTTAGAACAGAACCGCAAGCTCGGATCTGCACTTCCTTAGCTGAACAACCCATTTGACATCTCTAGGCCTCGGTTTCCTCAGAGTAAGATAGGGACTGGGATGGTACCTGTCCCAAAGCTGCTGGGAGGAGCAAAGGCGAGATCGTGTTAGGAGAACATGATCTCTTTATAAAAGGTGAAGTGCATCCAAATCACCCCTGTTTCCCCATTTTACAGAAGGGGGAAACTGAGGCCCAGCGGGGCAGGAGAACTGGTAAGGACATAATAGCTAATAATATTGAGGGGAAGAGAACCCAGATCCCAGGCCAGAGGGCCAGAACTCTTTACTCCTTTCCGTCCGTCGGTTGGTGTCTGTGTGTCTGTCCGTTTCCCCCTTGGCCGCACCTAATTCGAGCCAGACGCTGCTGTCCCGGGTGACGCGGGCGGGAGGGGCGCGCGCCGAGCTCTAGGCCTCCCCGGGCGACCCCTCCTTTGTAATTTGAATAAGACGCCTCCCGCCCGCCCGCGCGCCGCCTGAACGCGCCGCCCCGCTCTCCCCACTGCAGGCGGCGTGCGCGCAGGACCAGCCGCGGTGGCCGAGCAGGCGGCGAGACTTCGGCGCTGCTCCTGCTGGGTGCGACCCCAGGGCGCACCCGCCGCGCAACGATGAGGGCGCGGCCGCAGGTCTGCGAGGCGCTGCTCCTCGCCCTGGCGCTCCAGACCGGCGTGTGCTACGGCATCAAGTGGCTGTAAGTAGGGGCCCTGCGTCCACTGACGGGCCGGGGCGGGCGGCGGGGCGCTGCGGAGGGCGTTAAGGAGTCCTCGTGGGTTGGGCGAGCGGGCCCAGCCCCGAAATCCTAAGCTGACTTGGGGGGTTTGGGAAAGTCATCCCTAAGCCTCACTTTCTGCCTGTGTGAAATGCCCTCCTTACCTCCTGAGGGCTTGCGAACTGGGGCGAGGGAATTGCTGCGTCCTGGACAGGAGGTGCCGCGGCCCCCCGCAGGGCAGCTCTAAAAAGACAACCTTGTCCAGGGGCGCAGTCAGGAGGGTCTGGTCTGGGCGCAGGGGGCCAGCTCAGGATCGTTTCTGCTCAGCCTCCTCCTCCCTAGCTGGAGGTCTGGCAATCAGTCTTGATCCCCGCACCTGGGTGACCTTGGGGAGTGTCAGGGCTTCCTAGAGCCTCAGGTTACTCCTCTGTCAAAAGAGAGTAATCTCCAGGTTCATCGGAGCCCTGTAGAAGAGGCTCCCGAGAGACACCCTCAGCTATCAGGTGTGGACACTTATTCCTGTAGGCACGCATGGTCCCTGCGAGATCGGGGGAGAGCCTCCTGTCTGCAGAGGTGCCCGCTGTCCGGCTGTGCAGGAGGGAGGAGTGACACCCAGCCCTTCCTGGAGGAGCCGCCCTGGGCTGAGAGAGATAAGCCCTGGCTGTAAATAACTTCACAAATGTCCAAGTGCCCAGGAGAGCCCCGTGCCCGTGTGGGGGCTCAGAGACAGGAGACAGCCGAGGGGGGGTCCACACACTGGGACTCTGGATTTTCCAGGGTTTGCCCTGGCAGCTTGGAGTTGGAGGGAGCTGGTCGGGGGAGCGCTAGGGAGGAGGCCCTGCTGTTGGAAGAGCAAAGGCCCAGGGTTGGGAAGTCCAGGACAGGACACAGGACTGGAGCTGGTGCAGGGGCAGGGAGCAAGCCGATAAAACAGCAGGGGACAGATTATGGGGGCTGGGGAGGGGCCTTCGGAGGCTTAGCTGAAAGACTGGGCGATAGCAGCTGGGCCACCAGCAAACATTCTCGAGGTCACTGGCCCTGCCCCTTCTGGGCCAAGTTATCGATTAATTGATGACTCAAGCCCAGTGGAACCCCATTTTCTTGTGCTTCTGGTTTGCAAGGAGAAGCCTAGCCCAGTGGTCTGTGGCATGGGATCCTCCCAGGTGTCCCTCACGAGCGTTTTGAGATGTCACCACCTTCCTCCTCCTGCGCAGCACCCAGTGCTCTTCCTGCCGGCAGAACCCGGGGTCAGTGAGGGAAGCCCCTGTCAGCCACCACTCCCATTTGGAAAGGATTTACAGAAAGGCACAAGGAGGGGCTGGGGATTTAGCTCAGCGGCAAAGCGCCTGCCTGGCAAGCGCAAGGTCGTGAGTTCGGTTCCGGTACCGGAGAAAAAAACCAAAAAAAAAAGAAAGGCACAAGGAGTGCCAGAGGATGGGAACTGGGCTTGAGTGACACTGGGTGCTCACAGCCTCAGGGGGATGCAGCTGTCATCCCTGTCCCACACTGGGGGTCCTGAGGCCCTGAGGAGTGTGTGACCCATAGCCGCTCCCAAGGTGGCATGTACCGGGTCGGTTGCTGGCTGAGCTCAACACCAGGTTATCCCCACCCCACAGCCGACGGAAGAATGCCTACTCAGCATCTCCCAGCCACTTGGGGAGATGGAGGTCTGAGAGAGGGGGCAGCTACTTTCACCCAAGGGAGGCGACTGCAGCTGGGCTTAGAAGGACAGGGAGTGTCGTGACAGGCAGAGACGGAATGAAAGCGGGCAGGAGGAGCAGCATGGGCAGATGGTGGAGGCAGGGCCGCCCTGCGGGGAAGCTTGTAGAGACCAGGAGCCACAGGCACCTGCTAACAAGTGCCCATACGTGGCTCCAAGAGCCGTCATCATTGAATTTGTTACTGTGCTTGTGTGGTAGGTGATAGTTTTGTCATTACCACTTTATAAGTGAGGAAATTAAGGTGCAGAGATGGTAAATGATTCCCCAAGGTCTCAAAGCTCATTCATGGTGACTGTAGGATCAGAAACCAGGCTGATGGGCTCCAGGGGCCAAATCTCTTGATAATCACTAAGCTCTCGATGGAGAGGGGAAGTGGGAGAAGGGGTGGAGTTTAAGAATAAGTTACACATATGCACATAGACACACACATTCACACATAGATATGTCCACGCGTGCGTGCGCGTGCGCGAGCGCACACACACACGGTCTTGCTGCCTGCTATGCACAGTTCTAAATACCTGATGTGTATGGTTTCATTTAAATTTCCCTGTCACCCTGTGCCATGGCTTCTGCCACTGTCTAACTCATACAGAAGAGGAAATAGAGGCAGCACTTGGGAGGCTGAGGCAGGAGGATCACTGCGAGTTTGAGACCAACCTGGGCTACAAAGTGAGCTCAAGGCCAGCCTGAACTGCATAGTGAGACCCTGTCTCAAAAAACAAGACAAAAAACCCAACAGGTTGTGGCACCCAGTGGGTAATAGAGGCAAGTTTTGAGTTGGGCAATCTGACTGTTGGTCACAGGAAGCCTCTGGCCAATTGGACAGAGGGGATGGGAGGGTGGCAACCCACTGTGAAGGATCAGCTGTCCTGGGCAGGCCCTGGGCTTTGGAAAGTGACCTGGAGATGAAAGGGTGGCTAAGCGACCTGGGATTCCCACCTGTGGGCACCTGGGACAGCCTGAGCACCTGGGATAGGGGTAGGATCAGGGTTGGGACCTGCCCACCCATGGGAGTACCTGCCTATAAAAACCCCAGAATCCTCCCAAGCCAGGTTCTAGAAAATCCCAGGCCGACAGGTATGGGAGGAGTCTGGGTTGCCCCCTCTCCTGGCTGCTCTGGGTGGGGAGGGTGGTCCCAGCTCCTGTGAGCCATCGCAGCTGCCCTGTGGAGGGCAGGCCCAGGTTGTCTGGGAGGCCCAGGAAGAGTGCCACCACCATGGGCAGGCCCACACCTGCCATTCACAAAGGGGTGCGGCCTCTCAGGAAGTCCCAGAAGAGCTTAGAAGGGACACAGCTGCTGCAAAGTGAGTGGAGCACCAGATAGGGGCCAGAGTCCCAGCCTGAGCTCCTCCCCTGAGGTTTGGCAGTACCTTCTATGCAGGATGGGATCTGCAGCCTCCAGGCCTTTCATGAGCCTCAGTTTCCCCTTTATACAGTGTAGGAAAGGAGCTGGCCTGGTTCCTCTTGGCTCTGAAGCTCTGGGACAGATGCCTGAGAGGGAACAGGAGGACTCTCAGGCCGTGCAACCTGGGAGCTTCTTCCTGAGCCTGGAGTGGCTAGGGAAAGGCGACAGCTCTGAGCCCTGGTTCCTCCATGCAGGGCCTCACCAAGGAACCACGACTTGTAGTAGAGGGCAAGGCTCCCTAAGGCCACCCAGGAGGGGAAATGGAAGCCCAGAGCAGGGCTGAGTTTGCTTGGTCAACCTGGGTCCCAGGTTCCCCTTCTGTCCTCCCTGCGTCCTGGGCACCAGGGTGAGGTGTGATCCAGAATAGCCCGAAGGGCGGTGAGTAAGTGGGGCACAAGTATCCGGTTTAAGGAGCAGGGTCTCCTCAGACTCCACTGCTGTTCTACAACAGGTCAGCATGATCAGTAGAGGCAGAACTGCCAGGCTTCCTGGGCAAGATTTACACCCCTCCTGGGGCCAGCCCATCGCCCTCCCAGGCTTCTCCTCATCCTGGAGGTGTGGCTGTTGATGTCAGGACCTACCCTGCTCCTGACTGTTAACCTCATCCTGTCTCTGTTTGTGAGGGAGGGAGGGGCTGCCAGGCTTCATTCTGGGTGTGCTGGTAGGGACCCTTCCAAGGCCTTGGGACCCCAGCTCTGCCGAGGGTGTCCCAGCTAGTGGACGGGTTGGGTGCCATGCAAATTGAGCAGCTGGACTGCAGAATGAAGCACCTTAAGGCCCTGGTACTTGAAGCCCTTGGCTGAGAACTCATCCTGCCCTGTGCCCAGGATAGAGGGATGCTGTGATGGATGGGATGGGGAAAGGGGCCCATGCTGAAGGTGGCCTTCCCTAGGCCAGGTGCCCAAAAACTGCCCGAGGGCAGGGTTACCGGCAGCTCTGGAAAATGGCTTAGCAGGACACAGCAGGAGCCTTCAGTAGCCTGGCAGGAGATACAAGGCCCTGCAGAAGCCTCAGGGAGGGAAGGACCCCCAGGGGAGGCCTGGAGATGGGCTGGGGGAACAGGAAAGACAGGCAGGGTTGTCCCATGGGTGGAAGGGCCATGAGTGGAAGTAAAGCTATTTGTCCAACTTGTGTTACTGTGAAATATCCTTGTTGGCCAGGTGTGGCATCACACACCTGTGATCCCAGCACTTGGGAGGCTGAGGCAGGAGGATTGTCGCAAGTTTAAGACCAGCCTGGGCTACATAGTGAGTTTAAGACCACCCTGAATTACACAGCAAGACTCTGTTTCACAAAAAGAAAAAAAGGAAAAAGTTGTCCTCACGTGGTAGCCTCACATTAACCATGGACGCTGATTGCTATGGATGGGGAAACTGAGGCTGGGTGAGGGTCAGTGATTTGCCGGGTCACACGGAAGGTGAGTAACTGAGCCAGGTCACCCCGGGGCCAGCCCCAGCTCCTGCAGCCACCCATGCAGAGTCCCTGGCACAGGCCTCGCCTGTGAACTCTGTTCCCTGCTGTCCTTTCTTCCACCCGCTCCCCCACGCCCCCTCCCCTAGATAAACCAGAATGTTTCCAATTAGGAGTCTGCCAGCGAGGCAAGCCTGGGGAGATGTCCATACAGTGACTTCCTTGCCTGCTGCCTTAATCCTTGATTGCCTCCCCAAGGGGGATTTAGTTAGAAACGGTCATTACCACTAATTACCAGATGACCGCTGGGCCCTCCTGGGCAGAGGAGTCGCCGCCTTGGCCTGGGGCTCCTGCGAGCGGGTCTCCCCCACATATGGGGGCTGGCTGCTCCCATCCAGCCACGCTGGCATGCATGTCCCACCCGCAGTTCCCTCAGCCCCCAAGGCAGGTCCCTGGGGCCCTTGGATGGCTGCACACGCACCTTCAGGTGTCTGCAGAACAGCTTCCCACGCATCCTCTGGGGGGTCTGAGCCTCATCTGGGAGGCCCCGGATAGCTTGCTGGGGAGGTTGCTGCCTGCTGAGCCCTAGAGGGGCTCCAGGGTTCCCAGCCAGTGAGAGCCAGGCACCAGCACCTCACGGCTCCCATCCCCAAGAGCTGCAGCACGCAGCCTTTGGGTACCGCCTGCCCTGCTCTCCCCAGGAAAAGCTTTGTCCCCATCACTTCATGCCTAAGGCAGGAGCCTAGGTTAAATCCCCAGAAGGCAGTGGTGGGGTGCGCCATGGGGCCAGATGTTGGATTTCCTGTTGCTCCTGTAATCTTTCCCATTTGAAACTGAAAAAACTGGCTCAAAGTGGAGGGAGGAAGCTGGCGAAGGCAAAGAGGAGAGTGGGAGCCGGGCAGGCCCACGTGGATAGCCCCGGGCAGCACAGGCCATCCAAGAGAGGCTGGAGGCACTGACAGCCGGCTGGGGAGGGAAGCTTGGGTAGCTGGGGGTGCTGGGCAGTGTCCTCACGATCCCCTGAAGCGGGAAATGAGAGGCTGTGAGCCCCGAGAAGTGCTGTGCGCATGTGGGGCACGGCCCTGCGGACAGAGGTGGGGGGCTGTTAACCACCTGGGACCCCACGGAGGTGATGACATTTGCCTCTGTGTGGTCAAAGCCCACCCAGTCAGGGCTCCCTGAAGCAGACAGCAGGCTCCCCTAGAAAGTGAGGTCAGGAAGCCATGTCTGAGGCCGCTCTGTGGCATCCAGACACACCCAGCATGTCCCTGCTCCTGCCTCTGAGGGTGGGGACAGGCCAGGGGCCACAGTGAAGGGATACTGCCCAGGCCACCCACAGTCGGTCTCAGACAGGCGGTTACAGCACCCTAACCGCAGGCACCAGGCCAGGCCTGCTTGCCCTCAGCCTGCTTTCTGGGTCTGCATGGCAGGGAGTGAGAGGAGACCTACTGAGTATTTAATGTGTACATATCATCTCACTCAGGGCTCGCCTGCATTTTGTAATAGATGCTCAGAGAGAAGCAGCAGCTTCCCTGAGACTGCATAGCGCACCAAGGGCAGAGCTTGTGCTAGAACCCAGGTCTGCTCACTTCCTCACAGCCAGGAATCACCCAACAATGATCTGGGGAGCCCCAAGTCTGAGTATTCCAAATACCATGATGCATCATCTCATTTAAGTCTCTCCGTAACCTTTTGAAGCAGAGATGATCACTGTTAACAGCTGAGAATTATGAGGCTCAGAGAAGCTGGATAATTTACCCAGATCTCACAAATGGTGCCCCAAGCTTGTTCTCTTTCCTGGGCCAGCCAGGAGCTGGAAGAGCTGGGTCGTTGCCTTCTAGCTGTTGATAGGTTGATCCAGCCATTAGTCTTGGGGATCCTGGGGGATCTATGCCATGTTCATTACCAAAGGAGTCGGGAAGATTCGGTGCTTAGTGAACGTTTCTCCCACAGGTAGATGAAGTTCGCTTATTTATTCCAGTACAGGAGCAGGGGGAAAGGCAGAAGGAGAAGTTCGGGCGAAGGCACAGTGGTGGGACATTCCCTGTCTCACTGGATCCCTTCTTGGGAAATACAGGTTACAGGTACAGACACGAAGGCCAGGGGACCAGTGAATTATCTAAGGTCACACAGCAAGCTAATAGCAAAATCTGGACTAGAAACAAAACTTTTTAAGTTTTGATCATCACAAAATCTACTGCCCTTCAGTCCTTCCGTGGCAGTTCTTTGCTTGGATGGGGACTTCACAACATAATGCCTGGGTTTAGCAACTAAATGAAACAAGGATGGAAAGTTCCTCAGTCATGTTGTGCATATAGGAAGGGCTTGATTCACAGTGTGTACAATTATTATGATCGTAAGAATCAACCAGTTAACTTAGTTTCTGGCACATAGCTGCACCGTGCTGAATAAATGTTGAAGAGTAATAATTTGCAGCTGTGGTGGACGAGAGTGCTGTGTGAGCTGCAAAACTGTTTGCTGTGAGTGCAGTCATACAGCTTAGGGAGGACGGGTGTTGTGAACCTATGTTATGGTTAGGGCCCAGAGAGGGACAGTGATGTGCCTAAGGTCACACCTGAGTTGCAGTGCACTTTTCTTCCTGGCTGGCTCTTCCAAGAAAGGCACCAGAGTCCATCAAGGGAAAATCCAGGGTGGCATGGATGGTGGAGGCACTGTGGCAGCTCATGGCCCAGTCTTTCTTCTGTTGCTTATTTTCGGTGGTGTGCAGGGCACTGTCCAAGACGCCAGCGGCCCTGGCACTGAACCAGACGCAGCACTGCAAGCAGCTGGAGGGCCTAGTGTCAGCGCAGGTGCAGCTGTGCCGCAGCAACCTGGAGCTCATGCACACCATCGTGCACGCCGCCCGAGAGGTCATGAAGGCCTGCCGCAGGGCCTTTGCTGACATGCGCTGGAACTGCTCCTCCATCGAACTCGCCCCCAACTACCTGCTTGACCTGGAGAGAGGTAGGGGGCTGTGGGCCTACTGAACATGTGTGGGTGTGGGGGAAGGAACTCCGGCACACATCTGTGTGTTTGGATAGGTGGATGAACTCATGGATGGATAGATGGATTCATGGGCCTGTGGATACAGGCAGGCATGACCGGCTGGATGTGTGGGCGGATGTGTCCTTCATAGATACGGGTATTCAGGCATGAATTAGTGAAGGCAGAAGCATGGATGAGTGAATCTATCAGCACAGGGCAGCCTGAGCCCTAATTCACTCTTGAGTGAAGGACCCAAGAGGCTTGCAGCAAGCCGGAGGTCATTGCTTACTTTCAGAGGAGAAGGTGCAGATGAAGCCCACCCTTTAGCCCGCAGGTGCACCCCAGGCCATCCCAGACCAGACTGATGGAAACTGCTGTGCCATTCACAAAATGGTTAGGGACAGAACAGCTGTGAGACAGACTTCCTGGAGGAGATGGGGCAGGGGACCCGGGGACAATAGAGAGACTTTTGACAGGCAGAAGCACCCTGATGGCTCCCATCTGACCCCTGCGAGGTAATAACTTCTCTCGTGGATCCTGAACAGTGACAGCTAATGTCTGTGCAGCATTTGGCAAAGTTCCCTCCCTTCCTGAATTATTTAAATACCAGAGTGAGCCTGCGAGGTAGGTATTATCTCATGCTCTGCAGCTAAGGAGACCGAGGCTCCAGAAGGGGAAGCAACTTCTAGTTAAGAGATGGAAACAGGACAGCCCCAGTGAGGCATGCTGGCTCCCTGTTGGCTTCCTGAGGCCACTGTCACAGTGTGCCACAAACAAGCTGGCTTGAAACCACAGAAATGTACTGTCGCCCTTTCTGGAAGTCTGCAGTCAAGGTGGCAGCAGGGTCATGCTCCCTCCTTCCTTGCATGCTCCTAGCTGCTGGTGGTTGCAGGCAGCTCTGGGTGTCACCTGACTTGCAGCTGCAGCACCTCATTCTCTGCCTGGGTCATCACAGCAGGGCCATCTGCTGTCTTCTCAAGCCCTCTTCCACAGCGTGCAGGGGCTGTGGGCAGCAGAGTCTTAGAGTAAGGAGTCATCTCTGGCCGTTCTCCTTCCTCGCACGTCTGTGTCCAAACTTCCCTCTTCTAAGCTGGCCACTGGCTCAGGATACCCCACCCGCCCCTCCATTCGGGATGACCTTATCTTGCTCCATAGCAGCTCCAAAGATCCTATTTCTAAATAAGGTCATGCTCACAGGTACCCCGAGGCAGGACTTGGAAATATCTTTTGGGAGAACACAATTCAACCCACAACAGGCCCTCTGCACACTCGGCTGTCTCATCAGGTCATGAGTTCTTGGTGGCACTCAGGGCCTGAGTCTTCACTTCTGTCAAGAGCCGCTCATACTAGTTCGGGGCAAGCAGAGACCAGAGCAGAGTGCTACAAGCACAACCGGGAGTGTGGGGCTGAGAGTCAGTGTACTGGTTAGCTGATGTACTTGTGGGAGAAGAAGGGGAAAAGAAATGACAGATTAACAGCCCTAATGCAGCCCTCCTCCTGTACCACCCTCATGACAGCCCCCGGCCCCTGCCTGAGCCCACGGGCGGGTGGGGAGGAGGACCCTCAGACCTGGGCCAGGTCCTATCCTGGGATCAGCTCACCCCTGCTGACCACGACCTCTGGCCCCATAGGGACCCGGGAGTCAGCCTTCGTGTATGCGCTGTCGGCTGCCACCATCAGCCATGCCATCGCCCGGGCCTGCACCTCTGGCGACCTGCCCGGCTGCTCCTGCGGCCCTGTGCCAGGTGAGCCACCCGGGCCCGGGAACCGCTGGGGAGGATGTGCGGACAACCTCAGCTACGGGCTCCTCATGGGGGCCAAGTTTTCCGATGCTCCTATGAAGGTGAAAAAAACAGGATCCCAAGCCAATAAGCTGATGCGTCTGCACAACAGTGAAGTGGGGAGACAGGTAACCACCCCCCCACCCGCCCTGATGGTGTGCCTGTGCCATTAGCTGGAAAGGGCTGGCAGTGTCCCCAGCAGAGGGGTGGGGGCGGGCCTTCGTCACCTGCAACCTCCTCAGCTCTGCCTCTCCAGCACTTGGGGCTTGCCTGGCCCTCCTCCCCAGGGGCTCCCCCAGGATTTGGTGGTTGGGGCACAAGGACTACTGAATGAGGAGACGGGACCTCAAACCCCACCGATGATGCTGAGCAGGTCACCTCCTGTCCGGCCTCAGTTGTTCCCATTGTAAAATGGGAATGGGGGGTTCAGTTCTATCCGACGTGGTCCTCACCCCTTCCTCCAGGGCATGGAGGGGTGTGAGGGCCATGGAGCCTTATACCAAGGAATCATCTTAGACTTAGTGAGGAGTCCCCAAGCCCAGCCTGGCCTCCAAAATGCGGTTACCCCGTCTACCTTTGTCAATGGTTCATGAATTCCTCACAAGGTGAGGGAGGGCAAAGGTGAATGGGCAGATGTTTGTTTCAGTTTTTAAAATGAAAACAAATTTCATACGCACCTGTGGTACAGACGCTGTGCTAGACACTTGAATTTTCTCACCTGTGGTCGGGCAACAACGCCACGCAGGACTGTTGTCCCCTTTTTGCAGACGAGGAAGGCACAGGAAAGCACAGTGTCAGGTATAGACGGCATCTCATGGGCCATAGGTGCCATTTGACAGAGGCACCAGGGAGTAGAAAGCTTAGGTGGCCCAGCCAAGGACAAAGGCCGAGTGGAGCCCAGGTCCGTGGGACTCTGCACCCAGAGGCTTGCTTGTCCTCACCTTCTTTTTCGGTCTCCTTTGCATGAGGCTTCTGGGATGTCTGGGCCACAGGACAGTCTGGGAAACAGAGACCAGATCACACTGTGGGTCCTTCATAGAGCCCGGCCAGGGATTCAGGCTTCCTGCCTCCCTGCCCCGCGTCTCCTGCCCCAGCAGGAGCCTCCAGCCAGCCCCGCACGGGGCCAGCCCTGAGCCTCCTGCAGCCAGGAGCACGGACTGCCCACCCCAGTATGCAGAGAGGGGTCAACCTCAGACGCACCTGGCCTGTTCCGGGGCCATGTGAGGAGGGCTTGCTGTCCCCAGCAGGGTTGTGTGAAGAGTCAGCAAGATCACAAGGGCAGCAGTTTAGCGCTGGCACAGTAGCGCTCCCTACCTTACACCCAGGACCTGAGCCTGGCTCTCGCTTCCCAGGTGACTCCCAGTGGCCATGTTGACTCAGCCCTGTGCCTTCCACAGGCCTTGCTTAGCAAATTCCAGTTTTTACACCCAAATGGACTTCTTCAGTCCCACTTGCTGCCACTGATGAGGAACAAGGAGCCCTAGGACCTTAACCAGCTCCCTCGCTAACTCACTAACTGAATAGTTTGGAACAAGTCCATGCCCGCTCCGTGCTTCAGTTTCCCCATGCAGAAAGTGAGCTCTGATGACCTGGGACCTTTGTAACTTTCTGTACAGGGCAGGCAGGAGGGCAGACAGGACAGGCCTGGGCAGGGGCTGTAAGTCCTGTGCAAAAAAAGAGTTTAAAAGGTTAGACAGAGAGGCCCTCAAAAGGGATCTGACTCTTGCTCCTCTTGCTCACCTGGGGAAACTGAGGCCCGGGGAAGATGGTGAGACGAAATCATTTTTTTTTTTGTTTTGTTTTTGTTTTTTTTTGTTTTTCTCTGGTACCGGGAACCGAACTCATGACCTTGCGCTTGCCAGGCAGGCGCTTTTGCCGCTGAGCTAAATCCCCAGCCCCGAGACGAAATCATTTTTGAAGCCAAGGCCAGAGTCTACCCAAGGCCCTAGGCCCAAGCCTCCGCCTCTTTATCATAGTTGATGAACTGATTTTGCAGAACCAATATCGGTTTAGCTTTGTAGCTCACCACACCTTTTCATGGGTGTCGACTCATTCATCCTAACCGAGGGATGATGTGCAAGGCAGGAATGATACGCAAGGCAGGAGTCATGTGCCCACACTGCACCCTGAACACAGTGGCCCTGCATGGTGATATGCTTGCAAAGGGCTGCCGGGCAGGGGCCCTGGTAGTGCAGGGGAAAGGCCAACTGGGGCGGACAGGAGGAGGGGCCCCTGACACTCACCCTCCCTTCCTCCTCACTCCTCCCCAGCTCCCTTTCTTCCTTCCCTTCTTTGGTCCCCACTTTTCCAACAAGCCTCTAGTGAGCTCAAGTTGTTTTGTCTTTGTTTTGTTTTGAGACAGGATCTCAGTATGTAGGCCGGGCTGGCCTTGAATTCACAATCCTCCTGCCTCAACCTCCTAAGTGCTGAGATGACAGGCATGCACCGCCACATCCAGCTAGTCAGCCCCAGTTTTGTGGGAAAGAAAAGACACAGATGATTAAAAGCCACAGCTTTTGAAATCACCCTCAGGCCTGGGTTCAGTTTCCAACTCCTCCGTTTTCTAGCTGAGCAACATTGAACATGGGACTTAGCCCCTCTGAGCCTTCGTTTCTTTTTGAAACAGGGGAAAGAACGATCCCTCCTGGCAGGGCTGTGTGATGACTAACCCTGTTGTGTGTAGAGCACTTGGTATACAGAGAGTGCTTGATAAGTGGCATCCATCATCCCTGCAAATGCCCCTCTCTCGCTGCCCCTCTCAGCTGCACCCAGGTTGGAGCATGGCCCACTCAACCTCCCAGCTTTTGAGCTAAACACTTGATCCCTTGAGGCCCAAGTGGGCAGTGAGTTGCTGAGAGTACCCAGTCAGGCAATGGGGGCCCAGGGTCCTGGGGCAGGCGGGGAGGGAGCTCTGGCTGCCCTGCCCAACACCCCTCACTGTCTGCAGGCTCTGCGTGCCTCTCTGGAAGTGAAGTGTAAGTGCCATGGGGTGTCGGGCTCCTGCTCCATACGCACCTGCTGGAAGGGGCTGCCGGAGCTCCGGGATGTGGCTGCCGACCTCAAGACCCGATACCTGTCAGCCACCAAGGTTGTGCACCGGCCCATGGGCACTCGCAAGCATCTGGTGCCCAAGGACCTGGATATCCGGCCTGTGAAGGACTCCGAACTCGTCTATCTGCAGAGCTCACCCGATTTCTGCATGAAGAATGAGAAGGTGGGATCCCATGGGACACAAGACAGGTAAGGTCCTGCACGCCCCCAAGAGACACTGTCCCAGGTCAGGGCCGGGCACACAGTGGGGACTCGAGCTACGTGGAGGGGGGTGGCCCCAGGAAAGCTGCAGGGCACACCTGCAGAAGTCCTGGTAGTGCACCTCTTCCTGGCAAGGGTCCCAGGGATGGAAGCTGTAGGAGACCCTGCCCCACCTCCCCGCCGTGGGGAGAGGCAGTGACTGTATCAGGAGACAGAAGGGGAGGCTTCTGAACCAACATAACACGGAGGCTCAGCAAGTGTTTGTCAAATGAACAGACAAAGGATAAATGTCCTCTGCTCGTGGGACAAAAGAGGAACTGAGAAGCACAGGGAAGGTGGAGGCTGCAACCACAGTAGGACCACCCAGGAAGCCTGCAGAGGCAAAAGGAGCAAGAGCTGCTGCCTTCTGTACAGAAACTTGCACTTGCATCCCCTGACATGAGCAAGTGCTCCTCCCAGTCCCCGGGTCCTCATGTGCCCCCAGGACCACCTGGCCTCCAGTTTCAGAGCCTGGGCTGGGCTCCCCATAGATGGCCCCATCCCGACCCAGGGCAGGAGAGAAGGGGGCTGGTGGTGGCTGTAGACCTACTGCGTGCTGGGTGGGGTAGGTGAGCATCCTCCGGAAGAAGCCAGTCCTGAACCACTAGAACGGAGAGCTGTGTGACTAGAAGTGGCTGGGACGCCCTCCTGGGCCATGCCCCAGGCACAGGACATGCACTCATATGAAGAAGGCCCCGAGGAAGCCGCAGTAAAGATCTGATTAAGCCTGTATTTCCCAGAGGTGCTGGCCAGGGAACTCTTTTATTAAGGAGCCCCTAATAGCATTCCACAAAAGTGGTGTGCGGCGGGGCTAGAGGAATATTGAACGGGGAGCGGGTGTCTGGGAACAAGTCTGGCACATAGTTGGTGCTCAGCCAGCATCTGCTTCCTCCGCAGCCCACGTTCCTGTCTCCAGGAGGCGAGGGCGGGTTTGGGGGCTCCATCCCCACAGCCAGGGCAGCGGGCTCTGTAAGGAGGCCCAGCTCCCATCTGGAGACCAGATTGAGGGGGTCGGGGAAAGAGGATGGAATGGGTCAGGCTAGGGAGACAAGAAAGAGCGAGATCTGGGTAGGAGCAGCAGGGTGGAGATGCAGAGAGACCTCAAGTGCTCAAGCTATGACAGAGGAAAGGAAGCCCAGGGATCAGGGCCGCCCAGAAGGCCCTGCCCCAGCCTGGGCATCCAGGAAGGCTTCCTGGAAGAGGAAGTGTGGCTGCTTGGTTATAGATGGGGCATGCAGCGGTTTGGAGCTGAGTGGGTCTGGTTACCAGCTCAACCATGTGCACAGGTGGCACCACTCCAGACGCTGCCCCTCCCTGGGGAAACTGAGGCCACATAAGCCCCAGCCCCCTTGTCGCGTTTCTCCTAGAGGCTCCTGGAAGCTATCTTCCCTCCCTCCCTGGCCTGTGCCTCTACTTCCCAGACATCCCAGTAGCCTGGCCCGGCCCATGGCCCCGTGTTCCCCAAGTACCACCTCAGCCTAGTCTGGCTCTGATGCTGGAAGCCAGGGTTCAGATATTGTACGCGGAGGGTCAAGAGGTAGAAAAGGCCCCCGGCCCGCTTCCTGCCCCTTGGGGTGGTATGGTCAGCCAGAGGCCCAAGGTGGGCTTCCAGGGACTTGTGGTGTTGAATGGCTAAACAAGTTCCAGAAAAGCGACTTAAGTCGCACAGCCAGTAAAAGGCAGAGCTGGGGTTGGAACCCAGGTCTGGCGCTAGGGTGTGTGTTCTTCCTGGTGTTCCTCTTGCTTACAGCCCGTTTGTAGGTTACCTGTGACTCTCTCTCCAACAGTTCCTCTCCCCTCACCCAGGGCCTCACCCAGCCTCTTCCTAGCCTCTGCCTCTCACTCTTCTTATACCAGGTCCTTAGCCTTCACTCGGGCTCTTCCCCCCACCCCCCACACACTTCCCCTTCTCTGCCCTGAGACGTCTGCTCATGTGTGGCCTGGCCTGGACCACTCCTCTTCCAGGTAGCCTTCCTGAGCGTTCGCAGCGTCAGCCTGTGTGACTTGGGCGCGTCCCGTCTCCACTCTCTGCCTTAATTTCCCCATCAGTAAGGACGAGGATTGGACTCAATTCGGACCTTCTGGGTGCCTGTGTCCACATGGCTGTGGGGTCCTTTTGTCCCTGCCTGGTCCCCCCAGACCCCTGCCGCCAACAACATGTTCTGTGTGGCTCAGGGCAGGCGTGCAGTGGCCGTGGTGCCAGCATAGTGGAAGCCCTGTTTGCCCAGGGATCCATGGGCATGAGTGGCCTCTACCCTTGGCTGAGCCTGTTTCATCAGGTAATGGCGCAGTGGTGCCACCCAGTCAGGGGCCCTGCATAGCTCCAAGGACATAAAGTCCTGAAGGGACACACCCAAACCTACAAGAGCCATGGCAGGCAGGCCCCTCCTCCCACCAGCAGTGTCCAAGCTCACTTTGCTTCAAGTTCACTGCCATCTCTAGTGTTCAGAAATTTTCCTGGGACTCTAAAAGTGAACCTCACATCTGTTGTAGTATAAGTAAAGATGAAATAAGAAGGCAGGATGATTAGACAGACTGAAGGGCCTTCCAGTAGTTAGAAGAAATGGAAACAAGACACCTCTAGAAACAGAACTGCTGAAGCATTTCGTTAACAGCTTATTGGAAACAGGGAGAAGGCAGAAGTACCCTTAGGGAAGAGGGATACTTAGAATTCCCGAGCTCAGGCCTTCCTCCTGGAGTCTGGGTCCCTGGGAAAGCTGTGCGCTGCTGGGCTGGGAGTCCCAGCACTCACTGTCCTCCGTTCTCCACCCTCCAGGCAGTGCAACAAGACCTCCAATGGCAGTGACAGCTGCGACCTCATGTGCTGCGGGCGTGGCTACAACCCCTATACAGACCGCGTGGTGGAGCGGTGCCACTGCAAGTACCACTGGTGCTGCTATGTCACCTGCCGCAGGTGTGAGCGCATGGTGGAGCGCTACGTCTGCAAGTGAGGGCGCGACCTCCGCCACACAGGGGTGCGGCAGCGGTGGGGCCTGCAGATGCCCCGTGGACCTTTCCTTGCGAATTCCTGATGCCGGGCGTGTGTGGCAGGCAGCATGGGCTATGCCCCCTTGGAAGCCATCAGGGACAGAAGGCCTGGTCACCCTGGAAGGAGAGCCTGACATCAAAAGAAGCCGACAAGATTAAAAATAACCTAGCAGCTCAGGCAGTGCCCAGGCGCCGCCTTCCAGGCTGGTCCAAGGAGCCAGGGGCAAGGAATTGCGAGACTGTACGGACCTGACCTTTCAGGGCCAGGAGACCGGCCTTCAGGAATGCTCTGCGGGGCTCTCGGCCCGCCACATGGAACCACTAGCTTGGGTTGTAAATGTTTTTTGATTTTCGTTTTTGTTTTTTGATGTTTTTTTCATTTTTTCCTTTGGGGTGTGGGAGCTACAGAAATATTTATAAAACATAGCTTTTTCTTTGGGGTGTTTTACCTCAGTTCCTCTTTATATATTTTATATATAAATGTATATATATATAATGATCTATATTTTAAACAGGCTTTTTAAACAGCTGTATGAAATAAATGCTGAATGACCCCTAGCCTGCCCTGCAGTTTCTGACCTCCTCAAGTGCACTGGGCAGATCCCGGGGCTGGCGGGCAGACTCTCCGGTTTCCAGGCAGGCGGCTTCCCACTGATGTCCCTCCTCTCCCTCGTTCCCCATACCCAGCCCTGGCCCTAGTTTCCCTTGGTCAAGGGCGAGGACAGACGTCTTGAAACATAAACCCAGCTGGCAGTATCTCTTTTCCTCCGGGAAACAGGCACACAGTGCAGCCGGGCCTTGTGATCAGACCCGCTAAGACAGCTGCAGGAGCAAACCCGCCCCAGGGAGCTGGGGGCCTGGGGGACATGGTGGCAGACCCAGGCTACAGCTACCTCTGGCGGGTTTTCTATGCAACCTTGGGCAAGCCTTCCCGCCTCAGTTTCCCCATATGTAAAGCAGGGCTGGTGGTGACCAAGTTTGGAGGCTGGGAAAGGCTGCACCCTCGTCATGCCCAGACCGTGCTGGTGGTGGTGGATGTGGTGAGAAGTTGCTGGATTCCGATTCTGTTTTGCAGGTGGAGCCACGAAGATCGGTTTTCTTTTTTCATGTAAGGTGTCAGGCAAAGGAGGCCCAAGAAGGACTGTCCGGGCTGGGGCAGGAGCATTTGGAAGGACGGAGGGGCTGACTGGGAGGCGGTGTGGAGAGAAGACGGGCTCCGATTTGGACTTGTGGGTCACAGTGTCACTTAAGCTCTGAGTGGTTACACTGGGGCCTGGGGTTCTGGGGAGAGCCCAGCGCAGGAGAGATGCGGAGGGAGTGGGTGGGCTCCCTTAAAGGAAAAGGACCAAGGCCTGGGTCTCAGGTGCTTCCACACTGGAGGTGGGAGAGACGCAAAGGAAAAGGAATAAGAGACAGAGGTACCGGGAAGTGGCAGGAGAGCGCGTACAGGGTCCTGACGGGCTCCCGGGGGAGCAGGACTGCCAGAGGCAATGGCTCCAATGTCATTTCCTACAGTACACAGCACCAGACTAAGCCCTGAGCAGCTCAGGGCCTGTCCATGTCAGCAGCCCCAAGGTACAAGAGCTACTAACCACCTATAGCCCACTCTGCCCATGGGGAGACCACCTAAAACAGAGGTTGCTAGAGAATGTTCTAGACGGTTTCTGTGTGTGGCTCCCACACGTGGACACTGAGGGCTGGGCTGGCCCCGCTCAGCTAAAGACGGAGGCTAGGCAGGACTTCATGAGGGAAGCAGGTCGTCCTGGAGGTGGGCTGGCACAGACGAGGCCTGAACCAGTCCCAAGGTGGGGGAGAGGATGGGCTTTTGTGGCCATCCTCCAAGCTGTGCCTAAGAGCAAGCAGTGGGGGCGGCTGAGGCACACAATCACAGGCTGGAAGGAACCTCCAGATAAGTCTTACAGTCTCCTCTAGTCTGGCTTGCAAATGAGGAAATCAGAGGTGGGAAGGGCCTTTCCTGTGGTCACAGAGCTGATAAGGGGCTGGAGTGGGAGCTTTTGAATCTACTAGGGCTGGCCAGCACCTCTGCCTCTGCTACCCCCGGAGTGTGCCTTCTGCTCCAGGCTTCAGGGACCCCACCAGTCCAGTCCCCAGCTCCCTAGCCTGGCACAAAAACACCCCCCCGCACAACTTCATGAGTTCCTTTAGCCCATTTCTTGCACCTCCCCAGGGGTCCCCTCAGCTCCACACACAGCTCCAGCTGGCCTCCAGCCCTGTGACCAGCCGGCTCACCTCTGCCCCTGGGCACAGCCCCGGACATCATTGTCCTTGCTGGAACCCGCCCCCCTTTGCAGCCCTGTCCACAAAGCCCACCCCAGAGCCCCGGGTGGGAGGGATTGCTCCCGCCTCAGGCTCTCCATAGCCTTTTAAACCTTTAAAGTAACCACCATACCACTCTCACTCTCCAGAGGCAATGCCTGCCCTCCTAAACGGCCCAAGTGAACAGCCCCTTCCTCCAGGCAGCCCTTCCTGACCACCCTCAGCCCAGGCCCTGGCCTCTCCTGGTTTCCCATAGTCTCTGTGCTCCCTCTGACCTTGTGCTGATATGGGATGTTATCGAAGCCTGTGCTGGGTCTTGTATCTGCCCCCTCCCCAAGTCTGGGTTCCACAGGGGCTGGGACCAGCCCCCTGCACCTGTTGGGCCCTGGGAGGTGGGTGCAAAACATGCTTCAGGAATATTGAATTTGGGGGTGTCCTTCGCAACCTTCACTAACACAGGCAAATGGGGAAACCAGACCAAAGACCCAGAATGGCTCTCAGAGAGGGCGAACATAATAATGATAAATGTTACCATTTATTATACACCTGTTGTGTATCATTCCAAACACATTGTCCCAAGAACTCTTTGCAGAAGCCTCCCCCCAGGCAGAAGGGAGGAAACCGAGGTTCTGGGGGGAGTAGTGACTTCCACACATCCCCAGGAGGTCTCCCTGCATGGGGCTCTGAGCCCTGGTGTGCTCTTTCTCACACCTCTCTCCAGCGGGCACACACGGGAGTGGTGTGGAAGGCAGAAGACTTTTCCTGGGCCAGGAGGGGCATCCTTGAGACTTGGGACAGGAGACCTGGCTGTCCCTGACTCAGTGGGCCTTGTGGACCTGCTGCTGGCCAGTCCCTAGCTCTGTGACAAAGCCCTGCACCTTTCTGGCTGGCCAGGCGCTGGGCAACTGAGGGCATCCTGTGCTGATCCCTGGGCAGCTCCTCATCCTGACAGATGAAGCTCTAAGGTGGCAGCTGGCCTCACACTCAGATGAGGTGGGGCTGGGTCCCCTCCGGTGTGAGCCACAGCGCCCAGAGGCTCCAGAACCCTAGGGCTCCAGCAGCTTAGAACCCCACGGTCTTGGTACCTGGGAGTTTTTGAGCAAATCCTCAAGCCACGGCACTAGATGCCTGGGGGGTGGGCCTGGGCCAGTGTCCAGCCCAGAAGATTCTGAGGCCTTAGAAGCTGACCTGTGGAGTCAGCACCCTGTCACGACAAGACTCCTCACCTGGGTGCACCCCCTCACCTCCTGCCTAAGGGGCAGGGGTTCCAGACAGGGCTCTGCAAGGCCCCAAGAGCCCTGGAGAGATGGAAACGCCCAGGATGATAGCAGCAGCCACACTGATGCGGCTCTGACCAGCGCGGGGGCTGACCGGAGTCATGGGAGAGACGGGGCCTGAGGAGAGACAAGAAGGCGGCAGAGCGGAAACAGGAACTCTTGAAGAGACAGAGAGATTAGTTTGGTGGGAAAGGAGAGAAGGGTCAGATAAGGCCCCCCCAGGGAGGTGACTCAGGCCAGGGAACCACCAAGGGGGGCCCAAGCCCAGCCCAAGCCCAGCCCTGGTCTGTTGTTCCTGAGGCCACTGAGGCCAGCTGCCAGGGCACCCCGACCAGGCCTCTGGCCTGATGCAGGCCTCAGCCAGGACCCCAGACCTGAGAGAGGCTGGGTCGGGTAGAGAGAGGTCTGGACTAACTCCTGCAGCTTTCCACGCTCTTGCTGTGTGACTGTAGGAAACCATGGACCCTTTCTGGGCTTCTGCAGCCATTGTCTTGTTTAATTCTCACAACTCTCTTGGCCTAAATTTACAGAGCCATTAGTGGCAGAGCCGCAATTCAGACCCCAGACTGCCCGGCTCCAATTCCTGAGCCTGCTCTCAGCCTCCATGACCAGTATCCCAGGGATGAAGGTGGACATAGCCAGCTAAGTGGGGTTGGTGTCACACAGGAGAGAGAGAGTAATTCAGGACTGAGCGGTTCCTGGCATCTGTCGTGGAGACTGGGAAGAGCTGTCCAGGCGGTGAGGGTGGGGGACACCCATCAGGCCCCAGCTCATTCCATGTTTTCCTGCCCCCGCTCCTCAGTAAACTGATCCCCCTCCCCTGGGCACCTCTGAGGCCCCACCTGTGCGAAGGCCCACAGCTCTCAGCACCATAGAAGATTTGGAGGGACACCTGGGTATCAGGAGCAGGCAGTAGAAGGTCAGGAAAACTTCAGGGAAGCGGTACCATTGCTGTGGTCCAGAAAGCTGGGCTGAGCAGGTCTTGCAGAGAAAGAGAGAGAGAGGGAGGCAAAGGGGAGGCTCCGTGTGATCATTGCACGGCCCTGGGTGTGGCCTGATGCAGGACTGTGGGCAGCCAGTGTGGCAGCAAAAGGCAGGGCCTGGCCCCGGGCTGGCACGTTAGAGCAGGGGTGTCTCAGACCACCCCCACTAGGTGCTCCCAGCCAGCTGGACCATCCACCGCCTGCAGAAAGGCTGGCTTCAGGCAGAGCAATTTAACAGACACACATTTAATGGGTCCCCTCGCTCCCATAGACCAAATCAATATCCGCTTGGCTCCCTGGGCCGGTGGCTGCTGAAGACATTCTCCTTATGGGCCCCTTGGTCCCCACGGCCTCACCTGCTGAGACCTGGGGCTGGGGTGGGGCAGGGACTGATGGAGGAGAAGCGAGAGGAGGTAGCAGGTCGGGTCAACCATCCGGGACACCCCCACTTTGGCTGGCAGGGGGAACCAGCGGTCCCCACAGCCACGAGGCTGCCACTTGAGGACAGGGGCTTTTGAGAAATCAGGACATCAGTGGTCCCACACAGGGGCAAAGAGGCAGTTAAAATCCAAGTGTTTATTTTACGTCTCCACTGCCTTTGCATCCATGAAAGTGTGTCTCATTCAGGGGTCCATGGGGAAGGAGACTGCCTGGGCGATGTGGGGGCATCAGGCTGTTAACTCAGATTTGGTGACCTTGAAAGCTCCTTCCAGCTCTACTTGGTTAGAGTGAGTTTTTCTTAGACTTGGAAGCTCCACTCCACAACATCCTAGGATTTCAGGAGCCAGGACTCAAAGGTACAAAGCATCTACTGCTATACAATTTGAAGAATTCAAAGCTGCACACCTTGCTTTTCTCTGCTGGCAGGAAAGGTTCAATCTGTCTTTTCTTGTGCCTCCGTGGCCCTGCCCTCCCCCTCAGCCCTCCCCCACAGCCCTCCCCCACCACCCTCCCCCACGAACTGTCCTCACTCCAGCTGCACCTAACCCATTTGGCCTCGGGGCAGGAAGTGGTTTATTAC